CCTGCACACAGATTTGTCTTCTAGAACAGAAAGCAGAAAAAAAAAAGACTGTAACTATGAATACATACATAGAATAGATTCTCTAATGTCTCTTCATGTCTTCTGTGTTGAGTGGTTTGGGCTGCCATGTTTGTGGAGGGTGCTGCATTCAGTGGCAATCTGTTTAAATGCTTCCTCTGCTATTGTTTTTGTAGATGTAGTATCAGGTTAAGTAGAATTTTGGAATTCTGGAAGTGGCAACAATAAGGGGCAAAGACTGTGCAAACTGAGCTTAAATGAGCCTGTTAAAGTAAAAAAGAAATTGAAAATTTTAAAATTTTAAAAAGGAACAAGGAAGAGGAAATAGACATATAAAAATATTGACAATGTTTTTTGCAACATTATTTTTTTCTTATGGTCTATTTCTGGATACCATCTGTTTTAGAATAACTTTAGCTGTTTTAACAGACGGACCTTAAGATGTTAGTGGCTTACCACAGTAAAAATTTGTTTCTTATACATAGTGACAGTCAAGGCTTCTTGCAGGAACCCAGGCTGATGGAGACTATGCCATCTTTAACATGTTCGTTCCAAGGCTATCCTGGGCATGGACATATAGCCATAGATAAGGAAAGAGGGGAGGGTCAGATGGGAGGATTTTTTTGACCATTACTGGAAGTTCAGGGTTTTATGATTTACATCACTTCTGACCACATTCCTTTGGCAAGAGTTAATTCATATGTTCATACCTAACTGCAAGAGAGGAAGAGAAATGTAGCTGTGGGCTCAGAAGGAAAGGTAAACAAGTTCGGTGAATAGCCAATCTCCACTGCCCTACTGGAAATAATTCCTGAAGAAATAGAAAGAACCAGAAATCATCAGAGAAATGTACATTGGTATATCACTTGGGAATAATGTGACCTCAGTCTTATAACATTTTAGAGAAGAACATTCGTTAAAAATATTATCACTAGAAACCTTGAAAAGAAAAAAAAATAGAGCCTTAATTAAAAAAAAAAATGACATAAAGGGTAGTCTGTAAAAAGAGAAGGTCTTAATACCAGGTCATGAGACCCAGGCCTTTCAGATTACTTCATAATCTCATTGATAATGAGGACTTTTTATCTTTCAGCATTTCCCAAATCTTTAAGCACCAATATTCATTGTTACGGCCTTCTCTTTCCTTGTACTGTTTCTCTTGCCATAGAGTGGCTTAAATCTATAACAGTATTGGGTTCAGGGTAACTTCCTCAATTAGGGACAATTTTGGTTATCTACCTGGTTTCATATTCCCAGTTGTTTCAGGATGAAGTTTAATTTTTCGCAGTGTTTCTGTGAAAAAAAGAGATGAACACTTTTAGAGTTAGTTTCATGAGGTTTGAAGAGTAAGCCACTGCTATTCTTGTGGTAGGAAACAGGATAAAATTTTAAAAGTGAGTTTAAGACTGAATCCTTTCTCTCCCCAGGATACTTGATAGGCAAAATTAAATTTGCTTCTTTTCAAATTAAAAAATAAATACCAAAATAGATGGTACAAGGCAGTCAAAACTTTTTAAAAGAAAATTTAAAAGGAATGCCTCAGTTTTAAAGTCTTTGCTGTTAGTTGATGATTGGACACCTGTGTACTGTTCCAACATCCAATCTACCAACAAATAGGGTGTCATGTCACTGCTTCCTGTTTTACTTTCTTATGACCAAATACTTAGTCATGCTGCTGAATTCCTAGGGCTATCTGCATATGCAGACCTGTAAATATCTTATGGGACAAATTATGGAAGTAACTGTATGACTCTTGCAGATTTGTGAAGCAATAACTAGCCATATTCAAGAAAGCCACTTGAAAATAAAGTGCTGTTACAAAGCAGCTTAGACACATTTTGAATGGTAATATTTTGAAAAAGATAAAATGAGTGATTTGAACGATTATTGTTTCCTCATAAATGACTAAACATTTAATAATCGTTGGCAGCCTGTGATCAGAGAAGGCCTCAGTGTTCCCATTCTTCCAAGCTAGCTACTTAAAATGCTGTGGTTCCTCTTATACAAAGGGTGGCTTCTGTGTAATTCTAATTGTGTGGACACCATGAAGCTGGCCTACATTTGGCCTAAGTTAACTAAGTGCTGTGTTTGGTCTGAACTGGGTCATGGACTATAATGTGGCGAGAATCCCCTTCTTTAGTTATTAAATAAGTTTTTGTTTCTGCTTTGGTGGAATTAAAAAGACATCAAGATGTGGAATCTAAAGAGTTCCGGGTTACTTACATGTTCTTATGTCTTTAAAAATTATTATTAAAATATAATAAAAATTATTATATTTATTATGCTTTTTGAAATTTGCATAGGGTTAAATGAAATAAAACATGTTTCATTTGGGAAGATTATCTGCAAAAGGACAAGGAGGACAAATGGGAATAAAATGGGAATAAAAGATACTTGCTGATATCTTTGGCCTCAGAGATATACATGCAAACACACACGCATATCTCTAGTTCTTATTTCTGCATAATTTTGAAAGAAGGTATTTCTGTATGGTTAAGGAAAGAATAAAGGACGGAATATAGAATTCAGAGCAGGAGAGACATTAAAGAATTTTTAGTAATTAGTTCATACAGTTATTTAAAAGATAATGCCCATTCACACACTGATTCATTCATCAAACTAATACTGAGTATCTAATATGTACCACACCCTCAGCTATATGATGAGGATAAATGGCAAATAAGACATGGCTTTTGTTTTCAAGGACCTTATCGTCTAGAGAGAAACAAAACAAAGCAAAAACATAGCAATCATGTGAGAGAAGTATGCTCAGGATATGGCCAGGTGCAGCGGGAGAACAGTAGAGAATATAGGCCAGATTTAGATGTGGAGGGGATCAGGAATGCCTCTGGATCTGAGATCAGTCAAGGACTTGTCAGGGTGAAAAATTGAAGTAGTGTGTATTTTCTAAGCAGTTAGCATTTTCAATGCCTTTGGAACCCAAGAAAAAACTGGCATTTTGGAAAGTGGTGTATGAAATAAAGCTGAAATGTAAATTTCCAGAAGGAGATTAGGAAGTAACTAGTAAAAACAGAGATGGGAGCAAGATTAGGCTATGGAGAACTTTGCGTGCCATTCCAAGTGGTTCCTTAAAAGTGTGCAGTCTTAGAAGGGCTAAAGGGGCAGGGCGACATGGTCAGAGGAACATTTGGGAAGATTATCTGCAAAAGGACAAGGAGGACAAATGGGAAGAGAGAGATGATTAGGTTATTGTTGCAACTAATCAGAAGGGACATAAAATGATCTGGAAAGAATGGTAGCTGGGGAGATGCAGAGACTGGGGCAGATTTCGGTGGCATTAATGAGGTAGGAATGACAGATGTGTGACAATGTAGGAATAAAAAGGAGTTAGAAGTGGAGATGGCTCTCAGGCCTCATTCTGGCAAATCATAGTGAGGACACTGGGCTGGAGAAGATGGAAGAGCAGACTTGGGTAGGAGATGATACTGAGGGCTTCATCTGAGAAACTATATCAAGGAAGAACTATAAGCATGCTGGAATAGACATGAGCAGTCACCCAGAGGAAGAAGGGAAGGATCAGTCTCCAGTGGGGAGAGAGGGGGACACTGCAGGAGCAGCAACGCAAAAAAAAGAAGGCTTTTATGGGAAGCCAAGATTTCTGTTTTGAACATTTGAGCTTGAGTCATTGGTAAGACAGCTAAGTGGAGATATTTATTGACTTTGAGAGCTACCAAATGCTTCTCATTGTGTCCAAAAATGCTCATTTGCTTGGGACTTTATTCTCTCTACCCTGTATTGCTGGCATGATTGGAATGCACATGTCCCTGCGAAAAGGCAAATAAGATAAAGACTAAAAAGAATCCAATGGGTTTACCAATAAAAACAGCCTTGGTGATTGCATCACTCAGGGTATTCCAAAGAAACAGAACCACAGGGCATCTATAGAGGTATGGGAATTCATTTTATGGAATTGACACATGCAATTGTGGGAACTGGTAAGTTTAAAATCAGTAGGACAGGCCTGAAGGCTGGAACTCAGGCAGGATTTCTATGTTGAATCTTGAGGTAGAATTCTTTCTTCTCTGGGAAACCTCAGTTTTTCTCAAGGCCTTCAAATGATCGGATGAAGCCCTCCCACATTATTGAGGGAAATCTGCGTTACTCAGTGAACTGATGGTAAACATTAATCACATCCACAAAATATCTTCACAGCAACATCTAGACTAGTATTTGTCCAAACAACTGGGCGCTGTAGCCTAGCCAAGTTTGACACATCAAATTAACCATCACAGTGAGGTTGTAAACAGACACCTCTTCAAGCTCTATTTTCTCAGATCCCTGCTGAACATGCACAGATGTACCCTCGTGCTTGTCTTTTATGGCTTTGTTCTCTCTGTAATTCCTTCCTCCTTCCTTTGTCCATTTCCTTGATTCAGCTTTCATATTCCATGTGCACAACCTTATAACTTGGCGGTGTTGTGTAAATATGAATGCCTGATTTGATAAGCTTTCCTACCTAATAATAATACAATACATTGAATTGAAAGTAAATCATCAAAAGCCTGTTCACATAGGTCATTTGATGCTACGACCCAATGAAGAAGGCACTGATACAATGGTGCTATTTTGCTTTATAGTTGTTAGTGAGGGCTGACAGGAGAGTGACAGACTTAGGGCATGCCTGGCTCAGAAGTGACATATGGGTCAACTCTAAGCTGTGGAAGGCTTACATTTTATTTTTCTGTAGCAAATAAATACAGGCTCACACACTTTTACAGAAAAGTTACAAAACAATCTCTTTGCTACTGACATATGTGAGGCGGAAGCATTCCTGGAAAACTGGCATTTGGAACCTATGTACAAGAAATTGATTGGTGCTAGCATTTCTGCTGCCCAGCAGCAGACCTGGCCAAGGACTGCGGGTAGCTGAGTCAGGAGCATTTTGAGAGGCAGCCGAAGTAGGCTGCCCTGCAGACTACACCAGACAGCCTCACTGTGTGCTCCCCTCCTCCTGGCTTTGGACCTATCAAACCTCACAGTGTTCTGTGAAGGAAGAGGAGAGTGGAGATAAAAGAGCTAAAGCATCCATGTAAACTGGCCGAGTCACCACTTCCATTAAGAAATGAAATCTGGCTAAGCGTGGTGGCTCATGCCTGTAATGCCAGCACTTTGGGAGGCTGAGGCGGGTGGATCACAAGATCAGGAGTTCAAGACCAGCCTGACCAACATGGTGAAACCTTGTCTCTACGAAAAATACAAAAAAATTAGCTGGGCGTGGTGGCACACGCCTGTAATCCCAACTAGTCAGGAGGCTGAGGCAAGAGAATTGCCTGAACCTGGGAGGCGGAGATTGCAGTGGGCCAAGATCGTGCCACTGCACTTCAGCCTGGGCAACAGAGTGAGACTTTGTCTAAAAAAAAAAAAAAAAAAAAAAAGCAGTGAAATCCATATTTGCACAGCTAGCCCATGAGAAAAAAGGAGAGTATTTGGCAGGCAGAGTAGAAACCCAATCTGGAAACTACAAATTTAAAAACAATTATTTTATATTTTATATCATAAGCTTCCTTCTGGAGGCCTTTGTTAGCTACATCTATGTTATGATGCTCTTCTGGGAGACGAAATGGAAGCATTCTAAGAGTTTTGTGCTGCCCAGAGCACCAGGATTTTATAGGACACATGAAAGCATACTTCAGCCCTGTACTGCAGACACGGTCTTTTATTCTGATATATAATTTCATTCAACAGTAGTAGACATATATACTTTGTCTCTTGATTTGCAGTTTGGGGAACAATTTCAACTTGCTCCCTTCCAGAGAGCATTATTAACAGCCAATTGGCATACAGTTCAGCCTTTTTCACAGGTGAGAGTGAAAATTGAAAGAGTGGATTAGAGAGTTCTCTGCAGGCATGCTGGATAATTTATCACCCTTCTGTGGTAATGGCTGAATGTATATATCTTTCACCATATGTAGCCTTCCATTTAGACTTCTAATCAATGGTGAAGAATAACAACTGGTTTTTAAAAACCATCCCTTGGAGTGGAACTAATCAGCTTGTGGTTTCCTTTCAGGTAGTCTGACCATTATTCAATATGCCCTATGTATATCCTTGGATAGGAAATGACCTAAACTTCCACGTCCACTTATGTGGATTATTTATCCTGATGCCCCCTCCACATCCACCCAACCCTCTACTTTGCATATTAAAGTTAAGCCTCTAATCATTGAATCTTCATGTCTGGAAAGCTGATCTGGAGTTGCCATTACATAAAAACTTACTTTGTACATTATATGGCATGAGTTTAAAAGAAACTATTATACAATTCTTGTATTGTTTACTACTTTGAGAGTCTTGTGAAAGATGAGGATTTATTCCTTTGTCTCAGTAGATCCCCTGAGTTTTGTTAAGAATGTTATTTTCCCATAGGCATTAGCTCCCTTGTTTAGAGGGAAAAAAAACCTTTTAAAATCTTTGGTTTGGTGGTATTAATAGAGTTTAACAGAAGAGAGTTTGAAGAACATAAACAAGCTGAGGGCAATTTTAGATTGTTGGAACATTTTAAACAAAATGAAAAATTGCTTGACCTTGTATCAAATATCATAATTTATAAGGATCTCACTATAGCAATTGTGTATTTCCTATAATATGAAGTCTCCTTTGTGTAGATTTTAATCAGAACCACAAGGCAAATGAATTTGGATTGGGAAACCTCTTTCTATTCATCATGAAGAAGGAAAAGCTTTTATTCTGTCATTAAAAAGTATCCTTAAAAAGTAGGAAATTTCTTTCATCCATGTTCATTTCTAGAATTTCCAATACTGTCTAGAAATTCCAATAACTAAAGTACCCCAGTCATTTCTAGGTTTTTGTTCTGTTAAAAGTAAATTTAAATAGAAAGTTTTTATTCTTATAAATTCTTACTGGAAGTTGATCTGTCTCCTTTCTCTTTATACTAGCAGGAGCTCAAACTATTGCTCTAAAGTACTGTGATTACCAAGGTGTACCATACTTTAATGCTTTCAATGATTTATAATACACTTATTATGTTTTTAAGTAAATTAGACTCCATGGACAATATAAGCATTCATTTTAGGAAGAGCTTGGTAATGGTCAATTGATGGTTTACATTAGAAGGTTTCTTGCTTGGGGACCAGAAGTCATCATTTCAGATGTGCCTTTGTTGGCTGATAGTAGCTATGGCAACTAGCATACTACTAAAATCGTATGATAAATCTCTTGAAAATGATACTTTTTGTATTACCTATATGTTCTCACCTTGTCTCATCCTATGCTGAGTATACATTTAAATCCTTTAGGATAGCAAGAATAGTATCCTAAATTACAGGCCTTCAAACTTCTTACTTTTAAACTATAACCAAAATTAGCTAAATGTTGTTTGACTTTATCCATCAAGGCATCATATGAAGCCCAGTAATATGAATATGTGTACTTATATAAAATTTCAGCCCCCTCTCTAAACATACAAATACAGAGTCCCATAGTGGAGCATTAAGTTTTAATATTTGGTATTTTTAAGCTTTTAATTTCTTTTAAACAAGCTTCAAAATGATGGATCTATAGAAATTAGCCAAGATATTGACTTATCTTGTCAGAATTGTCTTGTAGCTCAAAATTTCCTGCTAAGTATAAAAAAAAAAACTTTCAGAAGGATATTTTCCTGAAATTTTTATCTTCAAACCATGAAAAATTTCAGAGCTCATAAAACACAAAATTTATAAAATTGATAGGAGTTAATAGAAAACTTAGAGATTGGGTCCAAGCTAGGTCTTCATTTTTTAAGTTAATGAATTGAAAGTGGAGCCCAAATATGAGTTTGAAGAGGGACGTTGTCACACGGATAGAACCACTCTGCAGTAATGAAAGTAGACACAGTGAATTATGATATAGTATATGTTGTTGCATCTAAATTAATTCATTTCCAAGGGAATATCTTTTTTAATGCTCCATATATTTAAAAGTTCAATTCATCAAAGTTGTCATGCCGTATCTGTTAAAAAGATTCATCTCTTGCTGAACTATAGCCAACAAATTTTCCAGAAATGACATTTTTCACAGTTTATTGTGTCCTCGTCATCAAGGCAAAAACCACATCAAATGTGTTTCTTGAGTGACACTCAAGATGAATGAGAATATGCATTCTGTTTCTGTATGCAGAGCTTTCAGTTACTTAAGAATAATGGGAACTTTTAGGTAAAGATGTTTTTCAGGTTTTAATCAGCCATAAACTACTACATTTTTGTTTTTTAAATCTTTGTGTGGTTAAGGAATGGAATAGCACTATCAAGGGAGTCTATTTTCTATTATTTAAGTACTATAATATTATCCTTTAATTACTCAAACTTCAAAACTTTGTTAGTCTTTAATTGCTTATGTTTCACCTTAATTTAAATATCAATAGAACTGAGAGAAAGTTTGGGAATATATTTTTGAATTAAAATGTTTTTAGAAACTATTTTATATTTTATATCACAAGCTTCCTTTTGCCATTATTTATTAACTTTGATTTTATTCTTTTTGGATTATTATTGTTAATGTTTGAGCAAGTGAAAGAATAAAAATTTATTATGTAATGACATAAGATCAGTGATGTTTGGTGTAAAAAATATTACTGTCAAAATAAATTAGCTTGCTTTTCCTTCAAAGATTAGAAGAAAACTTGATTCTATAGAATTATTAAATGGGCTAATATTTTTCATTATTTTTTACCTGCTATGTGCCCTTCATGAAAGGGACATGTTGAAAACAATTTAGAAACCTGTAAATTTTCTACACCAAAAAATTGGCAGGTTAAAATTCCACTCCCCAGGACCACAAAAGCAAAGAGGTTCCAAATGTTTTGTTTCCTTTCAAAATATGAAAAATCTGAGCCATAATTTGGCTATATTACTTGACCTCTGTCCTCTAATGGGGACTGCTTTTCACTGTTCCTGCTATGGCAACATGACTGCGCAAACAAGGGGGCCAGATTCTATTGTGCTGTGGGTTGTTCACGTGGGGCGTGATACACAGGAGCTAAAGGAGCCTGGAACTGGTGTGCACCTGCCTTCTGACATTGGTGAAAAATCGTCCGATGCCTAATGGCAGAACCAGATCCCTTTACTGCCTCTGTGAATAAGGATAGTGCTACGTAACTCTCATGTCTTGGTTCATACTTCATACACCTATACACTCTTTGTGTGTATGTGAATTTGTACATGTGTTGTGTGTGAACTGAACTGAAACTTTTCCTTGAACTTTCCTTTCAGTGAGAAAAAATAAATGGCTGAGGTTTGTAATTTGTCAAAAGTTTTGAAAAGATTGCTTTAGCAGACTTTATTTCTGAAGGTTCATACTGCCTTTCCATCCTTTATGGAGGACCTGGTGGGATAGCCTAATTTACTTCGTGCACACCAATTATTAATACAAATGTCTACCTAGGCCTACTTCCTTTCATTTATACGATTTCAGAGATGGCTAGTCAGCCATGCTCCAGGTGGGAGGCAGACCTATTCATGCATGGGGCAAGTGCTTTATTCTCTCCCCAGTAGACTCTGAGCATGCTGTGGCTACAGCCTATGGAACACTTTCTTTCATCCCTCAGCAGTTATTTAGAATCGTTCAGAAAGAACCTGCCGAGCCTAATCAATAGAGGTAATTTAGCCGGTGGCTCTAAAAATGCTAAGCTACATTTCCTGTCTCAACAGAGAACATTTATGCTATGAGAGAAAAGAAATGTATTCAGATACTCTTGATGATAACATTACAGTATCTGATTTAGTCTCAGCATTGCTAATTGTATAATGTTATCTGTTAAAATAAATTAAGGTGGTTAATTTCTCAATAACAAATCATTTTATTGCAGTGAGAAGAGAATAATTTAACTAGTTTTCATAACTTGTGCCTCTGTCAAAAGATTTTCCAGTTGTTTGGGAAGTATGAGAATAAAGTATGGGAATCTTAAAGTGCACTAACCTCTTTATGTTATTTGTGACTATAACTTTCCCTGTTGAAGAGTTTTGGACTATTTTCCCT